AACAACAATGAGGGAGAAAATTTTTATTTTCATTTTTGCTACAATCTAAATATTGACTAAAAAAAAGATCCATTAGAAAGTTTAATGAATCTGCTGATTATAAGATAAAATTTGTAAATGTAATAGCTTCCCTATATACCAAAAAAGTATCAATTAGAAATGTAAATACAAAAAATACTCAATTCATCATAAGCCAAAAAATAAAAATAAAAATAAAAAACCCCTAAGAATAATATGAATAGGAAATGTTTAGGATAAAAATAAAGAAAACATATAAAACTCTACCAAGAAATACAAATTAAGATTTGGATAAATGGGGAGGCAGATTGTGTTTCTCTATGAGAAAGCCAAGTATTTTAAGGCTAAATTCTTCCAAAGTAGTGCATAATACTGGGACTAAAATTAAATGTCAATCAAAATTACAATAGAATTTCCTTTTGGAACTTAATGAAATCATTCAAAAGTTTATCTTGAAGTATATATGTGTGAGAATAACTAGCCAGTGGGTAAGGAAGGGTCGGGAGCAGGAGCAGAGTCTGTGAACTCAGAGGGTACAGGATAAGGCTCTCTCTTAACACAAGGGTACCTGCTCTTGCACTAGGTGCTCAATTCTGCTCACCCGTCTTGATGAGCACCCAAGGCCAATTCCATAATTTCCATCTAAATGTACTACCACCCTCTTCATCAGAATGAAAGCTTGAATTCCAGTACCTATCCCACCGTTTTTACAATTTTTTTTTAATGGTTGTTTCCCTCACTACATTACTTTGTCTCACTTTATATTCCTATTGTTTATCATAGTATCTAATATGGTGAAATTATTTGAGATTTTTTTTTTGTAAACAAATATTCTGAAGATCCTGGTACCTTTCTGTTCTATTACTGGATCAGGAATTTATTCAATATTTATTATGCACTGACTAATCCTGTGGGAGATACTAGAGAAGCCAAAAACCAGTCCATTGATGAGAATTATCAATTCTATTAGGTAGATTATTTCTAGTACCTGTGAATGTAGATTACTCATTCCTTCAAACACCTGAATACCTGTTTCTCAACCCTCTGTCATTTTACAGAGGCCACTTAAAGACAGACACATATGGTATGCAACCTGATCCCTCTGGAAAACAAAGATATTCAATATTTAGTGCCCCAGACATGATGTGACTAAAGGACTCTCAAGCTTGATATCTCCCATGCTTTCCAGATTAAATAAAAAAGCTTCCTTTTTTTTTACTTCACAAAACATACTTTTAAAAAGATTGCAAGAGTTTGAAAATTTGAAATAATAATGTTCTAATATTTCTTCATAGCTAGAAATCCAGATAGAGTTTTATTACCAACCTTAGTTTCCCTGCTTAGACACAAAGATGTAGAAGCTGTTGCTATGCATTGCAGTTGGTTCACCAGGCAGTCAATTTTAAGGCCATAATGGATGAATATTGATTGATGTTCATTTTCAAAATCATTTGAAAATCCTGACACTGCACAGTCTACCTATGAACTCAAAATGATGTTGAATGAACCGCGATTAACTGCCAAAATAGTTTGACTGTCTGCTTGTGCTGTACTCACCGGTAAACTCATAATTCAAAATCAGACATTTGAAACTGTTGTATATTCCCTAGCCCAAATAGTTCTTTAAAAAATATATAGCAACCACAATTAATTTTTCACAATCATTCACCAGACGGTGTGTTGAGAACAGGCACATCTTGGAGATATTGCAGGTTCATTTTCAGAACACCGCAATAAAGCAAATATCACAATAAAACGAGTCACGTGAATTTTTTCATTTCTCAGTGCACATAAAAGTTATGTTTCCACTATACTGTAGCTTAATAGGTGTGCAATATTATTATGTCCAAAAAACAACATATACTTTAATTAAAAATACTTTGTTGCTAAAATATTGTGTCATGAGCCTTCAGCGAGCTGTCTTTTTTTTTTTTTTTTTGTTAGCGGAGGGTCTTACCTTCAATTTGAAAAAAAAAAAATGCAATATCTGTGAGTACAATAAAGTGAAGCATAATAACACAAGGTAGGGAATTTAAGATAAAGAAGACTTCAATAGCCCCCACTTCCATGCTAGTCCCTATGGACTACTGTCCATACAGCAGCCAGAGTGAATGTATGAACAAAAAAATACAACCACATGTCTCCCCAGATCAAGCTTTTCGATGGTTTTCCATCAGTCATGATCAACATGCTCTCATCTCCTGGTATTCTCATTCATTCCATTCCCATCACTCTGTCTTTCTACCTGTTTCATGAACCTATTGAGCTTCTCTACTCCAGACATTTGAACTTAC